ATTATTCATACGAAAGAAAATCATAAACGAAATTAATATTACGCTCGAAATCTCAATTAATGACGCCTCTCTGGAGGTAACGGTACGGTTCTCGCAATGATTCGACTGGCGCGGCCCTTTAGCCCGCGCTTTTCGATCGGAGAGGGACTCGGCGGACGCGCGCGAGACGGCAACGTCACAGTATATTATAAACTAAATTATCATTGCCATATAATATTTTAAACATTTTGACAAAATAAAGCAGTAATTGATTTGCGTATAAATTATTACGAAAACAATCTTCTGGGTGGCATAAAATCCGTATAGCAGTATGTAAAACGCAAAAATGTTGGAAATAATCCGCATTCAGATATTTGTCTAAAATAATAGGTCCTAAATATAAAAGAAATATTCTATATTCTGTGGCTTCTAATTCATTTAATTCATTAATACCCCGTGGGCGACGTGCAAATTCAATGGGTATGTATTCACGTAATTCTATTATATCTCTTGATAATTGTGCTGCACGTGCTGCACGTAACCGTGACATTTGATGTCCCTTGACCCATAAATTCAGCATCTTTTTCATTACTCCTAAGCAAATTAGATGCATATAATCTAACGGAAAATTATTTATCATATCCACAGCCAAGTTTTCAAAAGGCGAAATACAAATGTGATGTTCTTCATTTTCTCGAGTGCGGAAGTTGCTGTCCGTCCTCAACGAGGCATTTTCATCCAAGAAAACCATTTTGTGATTAATATAATCATCCTCGCAAAAACATTTACCACAGCCAAAATATGCATTATGCCCTTTTGAGCCAGTTACAAAGGATTTGGCAGGAGTATCACAAATAATTGGTCTGATTGTTACACGGTAATTTTTATTTTCAAATAAAAATCTTTCCTCGTGAAGGATGCGATATTCATCACAAAATTTTTCTAACAAATCTTGTGCATGCGTAGGTTTTTTATAACCGTGAAAAGCAGCAATCAAAAAGGGTTCCGTGACATGAATATTATAAATTTGACCAAGTATAGGCCATAACTGGCTTTGGGAACTTTTAGTAAGAGGTAGGCCGTCGATATTAATATTAATTTCTATTATATTATTATTGATATTTTTATAAGATTTCAATTTTTCTCGTAATGCCTTTTCCAGACCATAATAAAAGTAATGGCCAGCTCCACACTCTCGAATAATTGTATTTTTGGGTGTTCCTAACAAGGTTCGAGCATCACTGGGCAAATCATTGTGACCTTCTTTCTGTAGAATACACAATAAAGCTGTCAGAGATTTTTGAGTAATATTATATTTAATAGCCCACACACACACACACAGGTATGTAACTGTTCATGTAAAATGCCTTTTCGTTCGTCTCTATTATTATATAATAAATTAGAATCTTCTATATTATTATCTGACTCCATATCATCTGATTGTATATTTTGTATTTCTACTTCAGGAAACAGTTGTATTGTACTGCAATTTTGATTTTCGAGAGAGCATTCTATGTAAGAAGAAGCTTGCTTGTTAGTAACAAGCCTTTCTGGAAGGCTAATGGAAATATTGTCATTTTGTGCAGCTAGTAATAAACGGCGATTTTGTTGTCTGCGTGACAACTCTTTAAATTTTTTAATTTTTGGCATTGTGCTATTTTATTCTGCGTACAAACCTGTTATCATTAAATTTATCAATTTAATTGAATATTTTAAAATATTGTAATAAAAAATATTGGAATTGATAAAAAATTTTTTTGAGAATTGTTTATATAATATTTATGTAAAATAT